TCGTGATTTTCGGTATGATTCACTGGAATAATTTCATTCAGTAGAATCCCTTTTTCATGTAATTTCGATTGCACCTATTATTGAACTGTCAATCACAGTTACAAATAAACCGTATAAAATGATTAGGTTTCACCACACTTGAATCGTGATTATGCTTAGGCCCCAGTGGTTAGGCTTCACGAATAAATGTCAGATGTTAAATCCCAAACAGAAGCCATAACAAGCTGTTAGTTACTCTCTCCTTTTCATTACCTTGACCCCTATGACACCATGGGAGAGATAAATATCGATCATCAGCTGCAGAAACGAAGTACATTAATTCAGATATAAATCGGGAACCATTGCTCTCTTCAGGAGGTTCATTACACGGATACCGTGTCCCTTTCTACCGGTTCGACCCCGCTAGCTCAAACACCAAGGGGCATGTAAACAACCTCCGTCTCATACTAAGACATTTTAATGTTCCGATAACCCGTTTTTGACACAAAGCTATCTCAACCATCCCGTTTCTCTCCAGACTGGTGACGGTGTAAACGATGCCCCGGCCCTGAAAAAGGCCGAAATCGGTATTGCCATGGGTAGTGGCACGGCTGTGGCTAAATCTGCAGCGGACATGGTTCTGGCTGATGACAATTTCCGATCCATCGTGCTCGCCGTGGAAGAGGGACGGGCTATCTATAATAACATGAAACAATTTATCCGGTACCTGATCTCGTCGAACATCGGTGAAGGTGGGTGAAACCGTTTGCTGTTGTTGTTGTTGCTGTTGTTGCTATTGTTGAGTTAATATCTAAAGCAGTCGCTTGAAAGTTTTTAACTAGACGCCATCCACTTGTCGGTTCATTTCACTGGCAGCATATGTGGTGTTTAACCCAGCCACTAGAAAGGTATGATAACTGTTCATGCTAGAGCACCAATCCATGCTGCTTGTATGATGCCATGCAACACGTTTCCGTGGTGTTAGATGTTTCCTTCATGGAAGTTTTGTTATGTGGTACGATTAGGCACTTCTTCGACCTGACTGGCCCTGGTATGTGATAACATTTGTTACGAGTTTTGTTAAATTCGTAGAAAAATGTTCGGTGCCAAACACTCATGCTCTAGAAATCCACTGAAGTCCGTAAATGTATAATAACACGTATTATTTTTACGAAAACAGGTGGTCAGAGAGTTAGAATTCTGTACATCTTGACAAAGTAGCCATGTTATTACGATCTGTTTTTTTACAAACGTTCCTGTCAGCATTTTCAATAAAAGTAGCACTTTTTTCTGCTCGTCTTTCAGTGGTCAGCATCTTCCTCACGGCTGCCCTGGGTCTCCCGGAAGCGCTGATCCCGGTGCAACTGCTATGGGTCAATCTCGTCACAGACGGTTTCCCAGCTACTGCCCTGGGCTTCAACCCACCGGACTTGGATATCATGTCTCGACCACCACGAAACATCAAGGACCCATTGATTTCTGGCTGGCTGTTCTTCCGTTATCTGGCAGTCGGGGGCTATGTTGGTTGCGCCACGGTTGGTGCTGCTGCATGGTGGTTCTCGTTGTATGACAAGGGACCACAACTGAATTACTATCAGCTTGTAAGTTATTCAATCGAACTCACTGGTCGAAAAATCTGTGATACTGTCTCTTGATGCAATAACTGAGTGTACGAAAGTGTTAGGATAATATATTGCCTAAGTTGTGTTATTTACGAGTGGGCTTCCGGCTCTAATTTTCCCATACCGTTTTGATAAATACTTGATACAAAATCAGTTGCCGAAGCAAGCTTCAAAAGATGAGTTCAGGTTTCATATCATTGGTTTCCGTACTAATAACCTTTAATGTAACCTACCACTATGCAATCGTGAAAGATACCATTTGGCACATGATCACAATGGCAAAGCAAACGTAGCAGATAAAACGCTAAAAATAATTCGTCTACTAATGAGTAGTAACTTGAGGGATGTGCATATATTGAAACAAAATGGAAGATCTGTAGTGTACACATTTGGTTTTCGATCCATTTGCTATGGATAGCATAAACGTACGCTCAAAATAATGGTCGCCGTGGGTTACGTGTGATTCATCCATCACAAATCCAATTCGTATGCAGGTGCATTAGTATTAACTTGTATAGAAGCATGTCTACGCCATTTAAACTTTTCATTCACAGACACATCATATGCAATGCTTGGCGGAAGAGTATAACTTCCACGGAATCGATTGCCATATATTTGAGAATCCGAAACCAATGACCATGGCGCTTTCCGTCCTGGTTCTGATCGAGATGTTTAACGCGCTAAACAGGTAGTTGCTTAAGCACGAATACACTCAAACTCAAGCACGCACGTACTCGATCAGTTTAGTCAATCAGCACGATTCTGTGTGTGTGCGTATGTGTATCCGTGTCCTGCCAGCTTGATACGAACTGTGTCTCGTCTTCCTTTGCGACACACTATTCGCAATTTTATAGACGCATCAGTCACAATGTCTTGCTCAAGAATCCCGATTCGAAGGCATAGACTGCGCCATCTTCACCCACCCGAAACCGATGACTATGGCGCTCTCGGTTCTGGTCCTCATTGAGATGCTGAACGCGATGAACAGGTGAGTAGGCCGTCCACATGCACGTGGTGAGCTGAGACTGGCATGTGTCACAGCGTACACCTCTGTCACACAAACACAACCACTACACAAGTGGATGATCACCAAACGGATGAGCGAGCAACACACGCGTGTGATGTCAGTCAGTTATGTGTGTCTGCCTGCATGCATGGACTGACGGGGACGCTGTGCCAACGCTCAGCCGGGCATGTGTGATCAGCGATACGGTTACAAACCGTTCTACTGTTTGCTACAGTAGTTGAATTATGTGGATTAAAAGAGATCATTTTTCTAACCTCCTTCTCTGCCATTTCATGCTAAACAAAGGGGCTCCTAAGGTAATGAAGCCTAGGTTCATCCGAGTTTGTTTTACAATTAGCGAAACAATCAAGCTGTGAGAGGCAATGAACGGTATGAGCTGCATTTGTTATCACAGTCACGTGATTGCAAGTCCGAATCAATTATGGTTCGGTTAGAACTAATAACCTGTTAGGTCGTATCAAAGCTCAACACGTGAACCAAGCCAGTAATTCAATCACAGGGGTCAAAATGCTTTGTGAACGTTTCGTACAGTGCTATTTGTACACTGAATGAAAACGTCGATACGCATTTTCTTGACAAACACATCAGGAATCATTCTGATCGACCAAATTATATAAAAACCTAGTCAGATGTTTCTTCAGTACCCAAAACATGTTACATACACTTGAAACCAGGCAACATTGCCCGTGGAGCCCTTTGTAACTGCCGTAGTAGGCTGCCACATGGTATGGATACAAACACATTAGGACCAGTAAACAAACGCACACGTACACGCAAACACAGCGCAGGAGATTGACAAACATGTCGAGTAAGATGATTGGCTAAAACCAAGCCCCTTTGTTTGGCTGAAATGGTCAGTGAGTAGGACAGGTGAAAAGCATTTTTTAAAAGCAACGCACACGGAGAGAATTCGGAACGACCAGCTGAAAAGATTCTAACACACAGACACACGTACATACATACACACACCGGTTCCCATACACACACATACGCAGTTTGATCCACCAGTGGCGGCCTACTCGGGGTTCATCGTGTTCCATGCATGCTGTGATGTTTCCGTTGTAGTTTCCGTTGATTGTCAGCGCTTTGCCACTCTGCACGATATTTTTGGCACATGTTCACCCTGCTCCGCTTACCATTCACCGTTCTTACTACAAACGGTATAACACTGAGGGTTTTAGTTCTTTTCTATCACGTGCTGTTATCATTCGCTAAAATCGTGCCCAGTTTACGGCACTGCATAAATTCGAGACCCCGGAGATTCAATAGTGAATACGTCATGGTGTGCACATCTCAAGACAAAATGCCCGTTGTGGGGCAGACTTAATGCTTTAAACCGCTGTGTTGTCGGACAAACATGGTATTACGCAACACTAAGTTAGTCCTAACATACGAACATTTTGCGGACCTCAAGTGATGATTGCAAAAACTCCACAAGGAGATCTGAGAATAGAAATCCGAAAAATTTCCCTATGATTTTCTGATTTTTCTCACTAATTTACGCATGGGTTGATTGTCTGGTGGGTACACCTTTTATATCTGATAGTGTATATTTTATACATACTGTTAGTCAGTGTCGAATAGTCATATTTTGGCCTTCTGCCTCTTAGGTCAGGTGCTTAGCGGAATCTGCTTGTGTTTTGGTTGTGAATGAAGTGTTAAAATGCACTTTTTAAAACGAACAATCGTCGAACTTTACGATATAACAGTTTGATTCAAGCTGTTCAACATATGTTCACGGTTCCATCTCTTACCGTGTTCGGTGAAACAGAAACCGTCAAAGCAAGCGATCCATTCAAGCAAAGGTTTTTCCGTTCTATTTGTTTCCAGTGAGCAGCATTGCAATAGGTCTCGGTCAACTACTTCCCAAATGATCAATCAACTATTCACGCTCTCTTATTACTTCTGACTTTCAATTAAAATTCTGTAGAACAAGAGCATAATGTCTGCTGAAACAATCCGAACTCAGGGGCGATGAAGGGGTGGTTGCCCGTACGCTTAACCACAGAATCCCTTTATGGATCTTTGAATTCGATCCTCAGAATCGGATGATCTGTTAAAAGAACTTCACAAATCAAGTCACTCTGAAATAGCCTCAACGAGACAGATTCTCGCTGTTCACATGTTGTGTATGCTTCTATCAGACAGGAGAGGATCAGCATCTCTGATGTCCGACTGAGTTTTGTCCATAAAATCGACTGATCATTAACTGTGTCGCTACATGTGAGCCCAGTGAAGTCTATCAAAATCTAGAAAAATAGTAAACAATGAAGATGAGAAAATGAAACCTCCTCATACGGAATAGGTTGCTTACAACAAAAACGGTTATCTTCGTTTTTGAAGGGCGTAAAATGATTTCTCAACAAGGGGCATGTATTTAGTACCCGGACTGTTTAGACCAATGCCATCTTTTCCTACTTGTTCTCATACTCGATGAATCCGTTGTTATCTAGACGGCATCCATCGGGGTTTACGGTTTAGACTTGTAAATCTGCATGATTGATAAGCAATCTGTGAATAAAAAGATCACATAAGGATTGATTTTCGTATGATTAATAACTTCAGGTATAGCCACTTTTCTTGGTTCTAAAAGGGCTATTGATTTATACGTCCACAGAGAATTCACGTGATTCTGAATGCTTGTAGGCGTATTATATTACATATTTCGACGAGAATCCTGATTGGTAGGAATGCTGCCTGCACGGAAATGCCCAAATTTCACCCCTTGTCCATCCCCTCGCTTGCGAATTCAAAGTTGCATGAACGATGCCTGTCGTTTTGGTGTTTGCATGAGCTCCATCAGGCTCATCACGCCCACTGGAACTATCTAACAAATTTGAATCTTTTCTCCGCTAGCCTGTCTGAAAACCAATCGCTCCTGGTCATGCCTCCGTGGGCAAATGTTTGGTTGGTGATTGCAATGGTGCTCAGTTTGTCACTTCATTTCCTCATTCTGGAAGTCGATTTCCTCGCGGTACGTTCTAGATTACCAACTGGGTTCTCTTAAACTGTAATTTCATTGCAATCACGCAATCCTGCCTGATTATACTTGAATTCACAGTTAGCAATGTGGAATAGATGTTTATTTCTGGTGACTAACCACTCTTCTGACAATCCACTCAACGCACAATCCACTCAAGCAAACACTCTGGGAACATCAGAGCCCATTCACCATTCAGCATAGCAAAACCCACTAAAAGATGTACAGTTCGGAACATGCTTTTGTTAAATGGACTTAAAATTTCGTATTCCAAACATGTGTGAGAACGATCACTAATTTTTCTGGCTATCAGCACGTAGCAAACTTTCTTTTAACCGAATGCAACGATTTTCAACAAATACTGTCATAGATCAAACGCATCCAAAGAGCCAGATTACCATCATGCCTTACGTTCGAACGGCATTGATTTCTTTTCAATTTTAAACAAACGGATCGTTGTCATTTAGCTTTTCAAAGTAAACGGCAAACCAAATATCGAACTATTAGCTACCGGGTTTCTTTAAGTTCAATTCATTTGAGATTATTTGAAAGATAGTCGTCCTCAAATGGTTTTGGATGAACCGAGAGAAGTTTTAGCCTGTTATTGATTTAATCTTATTCAGAGATCAAACAAAATTAAGCAAATACTTGTTAGACATTCATCAATTACTACATCAAACAGCCATAGCCACTCATAGACTAATGCCTCTTGCTACATTTCATTTCAATCACTTACTCTCCCACTTTTCTTCTTCCAATGTTTGTCGTTTCCACTTATAGAAAGTCTTTCAAATTACTCCGTTATCGTTAGAGGAATGGTTTGTGGTTGTGAAAATCTCGTTCCCAGTCATCCTGATTGATGAAGTGCTCAAATTGATCGCCAGGAAATTCACTGATGGTAAGTTGGTTTGATCCAACGTGTATGCTCCTCAAATGCTTGTATCTGTAACAACAAAGAAGCTGAGTATTACTTGACAGTTAATGGTCCGTCTAGGGTTGACAGATTTGCGGAGCTGACTCAACGGTACCTTAGCGTATGGGAAAATTGAACTCCAAAATAGTGAGGCTTATTGGAGCAGACTAATATGCGGCTGTGTCAATTCACACAAACTATCACCTGCGTCCAAGTATTTCAGTATCATTTGACTGTATCATGGTACCGAAAGGCCCGATTAAGATAAATGGCCTTCACTTTCAGAGAAAACAGTTAATAACGTCATGGACCAACTTGGATTCGAGCACTGTATGAGTATATGCTATGAGGCTACATCCAAAAGCAGTTCACCGAACATAAATCGATGAACAGCTATTTCGTCCTTGTTGCGGCTGGTCAGTAGTGCTCACTAAGTTGCTTCCCTGATGGGGATCAAACCGCATAAAATGAAAGACCAGCGCTTTACAACTCGGCTACCTGGTAGTGCGGACAGTATAAAGTAAGACGGAAATGTACGCTCAAATTTTGAGGGTCTCGGCTCTCAGTTTGAAGGTTTGCAACTGCAACTTGCGGGAAAACCACTGATTAACATTGCTGATGAGTACTAATCGGGACGAAGTAAGTGTTCGGTGCACTTTGTTTGCTATCCAGCACAAAATTTTGAAGGAAAACTTCCTCTTCTTGGACAGATATGCGAACAAATTTTGATTAGAAAGAAACAATCAATCATTAGAGGCAAACGGTACAAAGAAATGCCGAAAATAAGTGTGTTAGGTCGGTCGAACTCACGTTCTAGGGAGTGAACTGATGATAAAATTTATCGGTTAAACATTTCTGTTGCGCTTCTAGCAATTGCCACAATTTCATTTAGCGGTACGGTAGTTACCACGATATGATACATTATATAAATATAAATATATATATATATATATATATACAAATATAGAAAAGTCATGATCATCAACTAATTCGTATTTCCCACAAGTTCCATCTTTCTTAACATCGCTTTTATCATATTTGTCCGATTTCAGTACCCATCAAACGGGAAGAACTGAAATAAGTGACGCATCAGACACATCATATCCAA